GGGACACTTGAAGACATGGGGACACAGACACCAGGGACACAGACTCTAGAGACACTGGCTTGGGGACATGGGGACATTGAGACATGGGGGCACTGGGAGACATGGAGGCACTAGGTGACATGGGGACAGTGAGACACTGGCAGACTGGGGGCACTGGGAGACTAGGGGGCACTGAGACACCAGGGACACTGGCTGGGAGACATGGGGACACTGGGAGACATGTGTCTGTGTCATAATGTCTCCCAATGTCCCTTAGTGTCTCAGTGTCTGCCATAATGTTTCCCAGTGTCCCTTTGTGTCTCAGTGTCCCCATGTCTCCTTGCAGCCTTTCCCCCCATCCCTTACATCCCTGAGCTGTAGGCTGTCTCTGCAGGGTGGGAGTTGCTGTCTGGACTCTCTGTAGCTGCTCACCTGCGGATCAGTGAGTATAGATAGGCAGGGAGGGATATGCTGGAACTTCCTATCCCTGCCTGTCTCCACACACAGTGACCCGTACTGGCCAGTGCTGGTATTGCATAATAATCTCTTGTTTATACGGAGAAAGATACCAGCATTTGTTTTGCCAGTATCACTGCAATATTGGCACCAGCCAGGCAGCCTCAAATACTGGCTGTGCCAATAAAATAAAAGCCAGGTGGAAGCCCTAAGTGTAGTGTGTGAAAAAAAAAATGTAAAAAAAATGTTTTTTTTTATAAATCAATGGGCCTATTCCATGGGCCTTGGCCTGGGCCTTGGCCTGGGCCTGGAGCTGCAGCTCCATCAGCCCCTATGTTAATCCGGCCCTGCCGACGGGTTAAACTATTTGAAAACTGTTGCCTCCAATAGCGGACCTCCAATTCCCTCATCCATCTTCTGAAATTTACCTTCAGGTAGCACGGAATGCCGCAGGACAGGGGAGCCACTGATTGGCTAGAGAATTCAGCTGATACTCTAAGCCAATCAGTAGCTCCCCATTCATAAAAAATGCACATACTTTATGGTGCCATAATGGGAACACTCCTGAAACCATAACAACTTCATTTTGATAAAGTAATTAAAGTGCCTGGAGTGTTCCTTTAACCTTCCTAGTACTCTTCATTAGCACCAACCCTAACATTCTCCATACATATAACCTCTCAAGCACTATCTATAAGTTCCCTCCCCAGCTTACTGGTATGCTCCTGAGATGGGATGAGTGCACTGCTCAGGTAGTGTGGGTTATAGGAGGTGTGGGGAGCTGCAGTGAGTGTGCTGCTCAGATAGTGTGGGTTATAGGAGGTGTGGAGAGCTGGAGTGAGTGTGCTGCTCAGATAGTGTGGGTTATAGGAGGTGTGGAGAGCTGGAGTGAGTGTGCTGCTCAGATAGTGTGGGTTATAGGAGGTGTGGGGAGCTGGAGTGAGTGTGCTGCTCAGGTAGTGTGGGTTATAGAAGGTGTGGGGAGCTGCAGTGAGGGCTATTCAGGTAGTGTGGGCTATAGGAGGTGTGGAGAGCTGCAGTGAGTGCTGCTCAGGTAGTATGTGTTATAGGAGGTGTGGTGAGTTGCAGTGAGTGTGCTGCTCAGGTAGTGTGGGTTATAGGAGGTGTGGGGAGCTGGAGTGAGTGTGCTGCTCAGGTAGTGTGGGTTATAGGAGGTGTGGAGAGCTGCAGTGAGTGCTGCTCATATAGTATGTGTTATAGGAGTTGTGGGGAGTTGCAGTGAGTGTGCTGCTCAGGTAGTGTGGGTTATAGGAGGTGTGGGGAGCTGGAGTGAGTGTGCTGCTCAGGTAGTGTGGGTTATAGAAGGTGTGGGGAGCTGCAGTGAGGGATACTCAGGTAGTGTGGGTTATAGGAGGTGTGGAGAGCTGCAGTGAGTACTGCTCAGGTAGTATGTGTTATAGGAGGTGTGGGGAGTTGCAGTGAGCGTGCTGCTCAGGTAGTGTGGGTTATAGGAGGTGTGGGGAGCTGGAGTGAGTGTGCTGCTCAGATAGTGTGGGTTATAGGAGGTGTGGGGAGCTGGAGTGAGTGTGCTGCTCAGGTAGTGTGGGTTTTAGGAGGTGTGGAGAGCTGGAGTGAGTGTGCTGCTCAGATAGTGTGGGTTACAGGAAGTGTGGGGAGCTGTAGTGAGTGTGCTGCTCAGGTAGTGTGTGTTATAGAAGGTGTGGGGAGCTGCAGTGAGGTATACTCAGGTAGTGTGGGTTATAGGAGGTGTGGAGAGCTGCAGTGAGTACTGCTCAGGTAGTATGTGTTATAGGAGGTGTGGGGAGTTGCAGTGAGCGTGCTGCTCAGGTAGTGTGGGTTATAGGAGGTGTGGGGAGCTGGAGTGAGTATGCTGCTCAGATAGTGTGGGTTATAGGAGGTGTGGAGAGCTGCAGTGAGTGCTGCTCATATAGTATGTGTTATAGGAGGTGTGGAGAGATGCAGTGAGCGTGCCGCTCAGGTAGTGTGGGTTATAGGAGGTGTGGGGAGCTGGAGTGAGTGTGTTGCTCAGGTAGTGTGGGTTATAGGAGGTATGTAGAGCTGTAGTGAGTGTGCTGCTCAGGTAGTGTGAGTTATAGAAGGTGTGGGGAGCTTGAGTGAGGATGCTGCTCAGGTGGTTTGGGTTATAGGAGGTGTGGGGGACTCTGAGTATGTTGCTCAGATAGTGTGGGTCATAGGAGGTGTGGGGTGCTGCAGAGAACATGCTACTCAGGTAGTGTGGGTTATAGGAGGTGTGGGGAGCTCAGGTAGTGTGGGTTATAGGAGGTGTGGGGAGCTGGAGTGAGGATGCTGCTCAGGTAGTGTGGGTTATAGGAGGTGTGGGGGGCTGTAGTGAGTGTGTTGCTCAGGTAGTGTGGGTTATAGGAGGTGTGGGGAGCTGCAGGGAGCATGCTGCTCAGGTAGTGTGGGTTATAGGAGGTGTGGAGAGCTGGAGTGAGGATGCTGCTCAGGTTGTTTGGGTTATAGGAGGTGTGGGGGACCCTAATGAGTATGGGGAGCTCAGGTAGTGTGGGTTATAGGAGGTGTGGGGAGCTGGAGTGAGGATGCTGATCAGGTAGTTTGGGTTATAGGAGGTGTTGGGAGCTGGAGTGAGGATGCTATTCAGGTAGTTTGGGTTATAGGAGGTGTGGGGGACTGTAGTGAGTGTGCTGCTCAGGTAGTATCGGTTATAGGAGGTGTGGGGAGCTGCAGTGAGTGTGCTGCTCAGGTAGTGTGGATTATAGGATATGTGGGGAGCTGCAGTGATTGTGGGGAGCTCAGGTAGTGTGGGTTATAGGAGGTGTGGGGAGCTCAGGTAGTGTGGGTTATAGGAGGTGTGGGGAGCTGGAGTGAGGATGCTGCTCAGGTAGTGTGGGTTATAGGAGGTGTGGGGGACTGTAGTGAGTGTGTTTCTCAGGTAGTGTGGGTTATAGGAGGTGTGGAGAGCTGCAGTGAGTGTGTTGTTCCGGTAGTGTGGATTATAGGAGGTGTGGGGTGCTGCAGAGAGCATGCTGCTCAGGTAGTGTGGGTTATAGGAGGTGTGGGGAGCTGCAGGGAGCATGCTGCTCAGGTAGTGTGGGTTATAGGAGGTGTGGAGAGCTTGAGTGAGGATGCTGCTCAGGTGGTTTGGGTTATAGGAGGTGTGGGGGACTCTAATGAGTGTGTTGCTCAGATAGTGTGGGTTATAGGAGGTGTGAGGAGCTGCAGGGAGTGTGCTGCTCAGGTATTTTGGGTTCTATGAGGTGTGGAGAGCTGCAGTGAGCATGCTGCTCAGGTAGTGTGGGTTATAGGAGGTGTGGGGAGCTGGAGTGAGGATGCTATTTAGGTGGTTTGAGTTATAAGAGGTGTGGGGGACCCTAATGAGTGTGTTGCTCAGGTATTGTGGGTTATAGGATGTGTGGGGAGCTGCAGAGAGCTTTCTACTCAGGTAGTGTGGGTTATAGGAGGTGTGGGGTGCTGGAGTGAGCGTGCTGCTCAGGTAGTGTGGGTTACAGGAGGTGTGGGGAGCTGTAGTGAGTGTGCTGCTCAGGTAGTGTGAGTTATAGGAGATGTGGGGAACTGCAGTAAGTGTGCTGCTCAGGTAGTGTGGGTTATAGGAGATGTGGGGAGCTGCAGTGAGTGTGGGGCGCTCAGGTAGTGTGGGTTATAAGAGGTGTGGGGAGCTCAGGTAGTGTGGGTTATAGGAGGTGTGAGGAGCTGCAGGGAGTGTGCTGCTCAGGTATTTTGGTTTCTATGAGGTGTGGAGAGCTGCAGTGAGCGTGCTGCTCAGGTAGTGTGGGTTATAGGAGGTGTGGGGAGCTGGAGTGAGGATGCTATTTAGGTGGTTTGGGTTATAAGAGGTGTGGGGGACCCTAATGAGTGTGTTGCTCAGGTATTGTGGGTTATAGGATGTGTGGGGAGCTGCAGAGAGCTTGCTACTCAGGTAGTGTGGGTTATAGGAGGTGTGCGGTGCTGGAGTGAGCGTGCTGCTCAGGTAGTGTGGGTTACAGGAGGTGTGGGGAGCTGCAGTGAGTGTGCTGCTCAGGTAGTGTGAGTTATAGGAGATGTGGGGAACTGCAGTAAGTGTGCTGCTCAGGTAGTGTGGGTTATAGGAGATGTGGGGAGCTGCAGTGAGTGTGGGGCCCTCAGGTAGTGTGGGTTATAAGAGGTGTGGGGAGCTCAGGTAGTGTGGGTTATAGGAGGTGTGGGGAGCTGGAGTGAGGATGCTACTCAGGTAGTGTGGGTTATAGGAGGTGTGGAGGACTCTGAGTGTGTTGCTCAGATAGTGTGGGTTATAGGAGGTGTGGGGTGCTGCAGAGAGCATGCTGCTCAGATAGTGTGGGTTATAGGAGGTGTGGGGAGCTGCAGGGAGCATGCTGCTCAGGTAATGTGTTTTATAGGAGGTGTGGAGAGCTGGAGTGAGGATGCTGCTCAGGTGGTTTGGGTTATAGGAGGTGTGGGGGACTCTAATGAGTGTGTTGCTCAGGTAGTGTGGGTTATAGGAGGTGTGGGGAGCTGGAGTGAGGATGCTGCTCATGTAGTATGGGTTATAGGAGGTGTGGAGGACTGTAGTGAGTGTGTTGCTCAGGTAGTGTGGGTTATAGGAGATGTGGAGAGCTGCAGTGAGTGTGCTGCTTAGGTAGTGTGGGTTATAGAAGGTGGTTTGGGTTATAGGAGGTGTGGGGGACTCTGAGTGTGTTGCTCAGGTAGTGTGGGTTATAGGAGGTGTGGGGTGCTGCAGAGAGCATGCTGCTCAGGTAGTGTGGGTTATAGGAGGTGTGGGGAGCTGGAGTGAGGATGCTGCTCAGGTGTTTTGGGTTATAAGAGGTGTGGGGGACTCTAATGAGTGTGCTGCTCAGGTAGTGTGGGTTTTAGGAGGTGTGGGGAGCTGCAGTGAGTGTGCTGCTCAGGTAGTGTGGGTTATAGGAAGTGTGGGGAGCTGGAGTGAGTGTGCTGCTCAGCTAGTGTGGGTTATAGGAGGTGTTGAGAACTGTAGGGAGTGTGTTGCTCAGGTAGTGGGACATATAGGTAGCATTGCGAGCTGGAGTGAGTATCTTATAATGGGAGTGTGGGAACATGGGAGAGCGAACAACCTTTGCACTAAGGGATAAGTATAAACAAACTGCCATATTTTACACACAAAGCTCATAAATCTCTATGTACGTAGTCCTACTCATGATATGCATGCAATAAGTGGGGTTGATAGATGGAGACTGCATGAGTCATGAGTTTCCACATCACATATTCCTGCATCCTCCACCAGTATGACCTGCACAGCGGATGTCTAGGAGATGTGGACTCTTTCCCCAATACTGCAAAAGAGTTAAGAGTCTGTAGCACTGATAGATCCCAAATTAGAAGTCAAACCTTTCAAAAATGACTTGACTACTTCTACTGAAGGAGCGCCAGGGCACCGTAATCATTACAGAGAGCTGCAGTGTTTATGGTGTTTGGAGTGTTCCTTTAATATAAAGTAGGAAAAGAAAACAAAAACATTTATCATAGCACCACCTTGTGTCACAAAGCGATAGTGAAATACTTTGTAAAGCAGCTGCTAGAACATTATGTGTTATTTATAAGTTATTTGAAAGGCTCCCGGCTCTGTTTCTTCTTGTTTACTCCACAACTTTTAGCGAATAAATAAACGTATTTTTGCAACATTACCATTTAAATTCCACTTTTATCATCCTTATCACTCTGTCCACCCCCCCACCACTGTAACACAGTGTGTAAGTCCTTCTAAAAAATACTTTTTCACTTTTCTAATCTTTGATTTGTCATATACATTAAATAAAACTATCATAATCTTTTTTATAGCAACTACTAAAGCAACTGCATTATACCAATCAAGTGTTTGTTGAAGCTTAGATGAAAAAAAGTCCAGGTCGAAAATTTTAGCACAAAACCTGCTATTCTAATATTGTTTCTTTACAGTTCCCTCACTGTCCGAATCTTTTTGGATTTATTTACTAAACGCCACATTGTAGAAAACCGAATTTCAAAAGGTACCTCCACTGCACTTCAGTGATACAACAGAGTTTACCGCACCAGAATGCTACAGGAGCCCACATGCACCCTAGGGTTTCTAACAGAGAAATCTTGCATACACACATACGATCCACTGACATTGGGGTACTGTGACGTAGTGATGAGCCAAACGCAACACGGCCATTTGATGGAACTAAATCCCCATATCTGTTTATTGAGATAGGTGATGTTAAGTAGCCTTAGTAGTCAAATTTAAAACTGTATTTTTGTGTGTGTACATCTGTATTTTGTATAAAGTTTGGTCTTTACGACAGCACATCTGCTAAGAAATGCATGTTCCTGATGCCGCCCCAATTCATCTTTTATTTTTTCAATAATTAGGGAATTGTCTTCTCATTCTTTCCTACAGGTTCCACCTCCTCATGGAGGTTCAGAGGAAGTCGCTACTGTACGCACTGTAGGAAAAGGAGCAGTACAGTTTTCGCAGAGTAAAGATGTTCTGATACGTAGAGTAGGCAACGGTGTTGTGATCCAAACCGATAAACCTACTTATCGGCCGAGCCAAACTGGTAAGAAAGGGAAAAGGGGTGGGGGGAGAATGTGCAGAGATGTAAATAATGTAAATGTTTCTCCTCTTCATAGTGTTCTTCCGCATTTTGACTCTGAATGAAAAGTTCTTCACTGCAAAGAATAAGGTGAGACTGGGAATATGAGAAAAATTAGAAAAATTAGAAAAAGAAAATGTTAGTCAATACATCTTAGATTGATAAAATAGTAGTCATTGCTCCAACAATATTAATTTATATTTAATTCACATACGTAATTATAATGATATTATTAGGCTGTATATATATAGCTTGCTGTATTGCTTGTACATTTTTAGGTTAAAAGCAAACATATTTTTTGTATTAATGTATTGCTTTAAATAATCAAAATGTGTAAGTGAGTGAAAAAGGTGGAATGTATGCATGATATAATTGTAAGTTACTCTGAGATAGTTGGAATATATGTGGGAGATGATTGGAATGTATAGGTGGATAGTTTGAATGTACACGTGAGATAGTTGGAATACGAGGTCTGTCTAGAAAAAGTCCAGCCATTGTTCATATAACGAGAACAGTTTGTGTGACATTGATGTAACCTGGCAGCCAAGGAGAGTGGACTGGAATGCGGATGCGTGAACAATCACAATTTCACTACACTAGTCAGTTGGGGCGCTAGACGCCGTTAAGTGACCATGTGTACTGTTTAGCCATCGCATTCAAAATGACTGAGCGAGTAGAGCAACAAATCTGCATTAAATTTTGGATTTAGCTTGAACATTCCCCTGCGGAAACTATTCAGGTGATTCAGAAGGCATACGGGGACAATACAATGAGTGCAGAGCAAATAAAAGTGTGGCGTAAATTCTTCAAATATGGTTGAGAATCTGTTGAAAGATATGGCATCCTGCGACTTTTGGCTTTTCCCAAAGCTAAAATCAACTTTGAAAGGTAAGAGATTTCAGACCGTCAATGAGATTCAGGTTAATACGACAAGGCAGCTGTGTGGTGATTCCAACAAAGGATTTTGCAAAGTGCTTTGAACAGTGGAAGAGAGGTTTGGGGGACTGTTCTAAGGTGCCTACTTTGTATCTTATTCAATCAATGTCTCTATTTTTCATATTACATGGCTTGTTATTTTCCAGACAGACCTCATGTATGAGCTCAGTCGCTGGAATGCATGTATGAGCTAGTTGATATGTGTGAGATTTTGGAATATGCATGTAACAAACTGTTGGAATGTATGCATAGGGTAGTTGTAATAATTGTGTAAGAAAGTAGGAATGTATGTGTGAGATAACTGGAATGCATAAGTGAGATAGTTGGAATGTATGTGTGAGCTAGTTAGAATGTGTGAAATTGTTGGAATATGTGTGTGAGATAGCTGAATGTATGTGTGAGGTAGCTGAATGTATGTGTGAGGTAGTTGTTATGTATGAGTGTCACGATTCGGGAACCTAACACGCTAACAGGTCACAGGAAGGAAGGATGCTATACCGGTCCTTAGAATGGCCGGTTTAAGCACACTAAGAATAGTCAGGAGACAAGCCAAGTAAAGGGAGCCAGAAAACACGAGAACGAGAAACAAGCCGAGGTCAAAGGAATGGAGAATACAGGAAAGTCGGAATAACGAGCCAAATAAACGGTAACCAGAGAGCAACACGAGCAAACTGCAATACAGGTAACACAAGACCACAACAGGGCACTGAAAGACAGGAAAGGTAAGTATATAACAGCTGTGCTTAATTCTGATTGGATAACTTCCAATCAGAATTAATAATCACACGTGGGAGATATCTATACCTCCCACTGTGATTAGGGTACTGTGGCTTTAACGCCGGGTCACGTGAGTGACCCTGGCGTTTACACAAATGCGGGGACTCCCAGCGTGCAGCGTTACACATGCTGCTGCTGGGAGGCGAGGAGGAGGATGCGAGCGGCGAGCGGCGCGCAGCGCAGAGAGGAGGCCGCTCGCCGACAGGTAGGGGAAGTGAGTAGGTCACTGCCCTGTAAGTGTGTGAGCGTGTTGGAATGTGTGAGTGTTGGAATATGCATGTTAGATAGTAGAATGTATATCTGAGCTGGATTGTACGTGTGAGCTAGTTGGAATGTACGGATTATACTTAGATTGTTGGAGTGCACACGTGAGAATGCTTAATAAAATATTTAAAATGTGAATGTGAAATAAAAAGTATAGCCGAATTGTCTAATTTGAGTTTTCATTATTTACAGTATTATGTGGTGGAACTAAAGGTAAGACAAGAACCTATAATGGTTTCACTGGTGAGAAGTTTAAAGGGAATGAAAATTATGGTATGAAATGTGGAGTGCCAGGTGGTCAAGGTTTGAATATTTATTGTGAGAGCATGGCAAGGTATTGAAGTATAGGAAATGCAGGCGAAGCAGTAAATGGTTTACTATAATAATTAATTAAACCATACGAAATAAGAAGAAATGGTGAAGAACTAAAATTAAGGAATGAGAAGGAGGCTGGTGCTTTATGAGGAAATTTAAGATATGCTAAAAATTACACATGTGAGAGGCTACATGAAGGGAATGTAAGGAAAAGGGGTGTAAAGGGTGTAGATAGGGAATAAAAACATATGCAAAATACGAACCAAGAAACAGGATTCTCATAGGGGGTGACCGAGAATTTGCAGGAAAGGAATATGAAGTGGTGTGATGGATTGGGATGAAATAGGGGGATTGTAGAGGTGCAGGATGTGAATGTGAGTGGTTCTAAACTGAGAGAGGGAATAATGTATGTTGGGGTGGGAATATTGAATATGTAGGGTGGAAATGGCATGCAAGGATTAAATGTAGTGAGATTTAAAGTTTATTGGTGAGAAAATTGGGTTAATCGTTAATCACTTGTCATGTTATTTGCCTCCCTTGTGATATATAGGATTCTAAGAGTAACCGTATTGCTCAGTGGCTGGATATTAAAACAAGCTCAGGAATTGTTGACCTGAGTTTTAACCTGACGTCCGAGCCTCTCCTTGGTACCTACACCATTAATGTGGATAATGGGCAGAATATGAAAACCTTTGTCGTTCAGGAAGAAGGTAGGCATTCATCTTTATTTCATAAAGAGAGGAAAATTCCTGGGTCTGTAATATTTTCCATGTGTTTCTATTCAGTTATAGAACTGGGAACACACTGTATTTAAGAACATAGATTAATGTAAGGATTCCAATAAAATTGCTATAATATCCTTTAAAGAAACTGCACACTGCCTATCAATGTGGGTTCAGAGGTAAAAACAAATACATAAAAATACAATACTGGCCCTGGATCATGTATTTAACAGGACATTGTCTAATTATGGAGTTGCGGTCATTAGGTCTATTGGTAAAAGGAACAAATTATGGGACAAGTTATATTCATTGAGCACAATGGGAATAGAAGAAACGTCATATTGTGCATGGAAGTTCCTTTTACACATGATAGAAAATTACTGGGGTAATGGTAAATTAATGTTTAATGTAGGTCCTGGACTCTGACACTTATAATGGGGTAATTAAAAGGCAACAGAAGATGATGTCCATGAGCTCATAAAAAGGGATATGAACAGCAATCACAAGGTTTTCTTTACTGTTATTGTGAATAATGACAACAAACTTGAGTCAAGAACAAAGAAAGGAGATTCTAAAGCAGTATTCGAAGACTGAAAATGCAGATTTTTATCCTTTTACTCCAACACAGGGTGCTGTGCATTTTATAGTGGTTTTACTTCTATGTGCTTTTGTTTATTTATGTCTTAAGGTGTAAGGGAAAACATCTTAATTGCACGTTTAACCCACTGTGTGTTTTCTGAGGTGCCTATACACCTACTGGTTTCCAGTATTAGCAGTGGTTATTGCGCCGAACTCTGGACATCCTAGGATGTCTATGACAGAGGAAAAATAGAGTCTCTGACATTTGTGAACAGTCCATAAAAGTCCACACGATATGCATCTAAGCTGGCATCCATACGTCCTTGCAATGCTTAATTTGTTAAGTGAAATTGAAGCTATACTGTCCAAGACTGTTACATGGTCTTCAAGAAGACCATCCAGAGACTATTGGTTGCTATTCTGTGAGATGATGCATAACAAAACCTCTAATGAACATTTTTTTCTTTTTGATAAGATCATCTGGTCAGATGAGGCTTCTTTCAAATTGTCAGGCCACGTGAACAGGGAAACTCTGTATATTGGGTAGATGAAACTCCTCATTGTACTATCACATCTCAACTGAACCAGCCATGCATTACAGTGTGGGGTGCACTGTACATCGAAGGTGTAGGACTGGTTTTCTTCGACAGAACTGTGGATAGCATCAATTACCTAAACTTGTTTAGCGACATGGTGGAGGTACAACTATGCTAACAGCAACTTCGCCAAACTGCTCTTCCAACAAGATGGTGCATTTCTTCATTATGCTTTTGCAGTAAAGGAATGCCTTGAAAACACCTTCTGGCCATGTTCACCCAACTTTACACCAATGGACTTCTTTTTTTGGGATGTAGAAAGGAATAAGGTTTTTGAGAGGAAGCCCCAGAATTAATTAATTAAAAGAGTTCATCTCTGAAGCAGTTAAAATCATTGATGTGGGCCAGAATTTGTGTTGTACTGTGTGTCACAGAGTACTGGACAGGTTTAAGGATTGTTGTAACAATAATGGAAGAATAATGCACAAAAATGTGATTCACATATTCCCGCATCGCCACAACAGCGATTGCGGGCAGAGTATTACACATGGTCATAAAGTGTTGTGCTGCGCCGTTATGAGTGTTGTTTGACAGAATAACATGTGTCCTGTCCGAAGGCGGATCTATATGTACGATAACATATAGCCATATACAGAAGTCATTTTAGTAGTGTGGTAGAGAAACAATATTAAGTTAAGTAATGAGAGGAAAAAAAAAAAAAGGGGGGGGGGGGGGGTTATTGGTAGAAACAGTTACGTCGTAAGTCTCCCCCTTCTGGCACGGTGGTTGGGTTGCCGGCGTATCATTTGTAGCTGGTCGGGTGTCCGACCGGTGTTGGTGGCTGGGGCTAATATCCTTATCTTGTCCTCCAATGGGGGCCTGGCTAATTAAGTGTCGGTGCTATATGTCCCTGGGTTGGTCTTCGTGTGCGACATAGTGGGTGTGGTCTGCGTCTGTCCATGTTCCCCCCTTACTGTAAACGTGTTGGTGAAACCTACATGGTCCCAAGGGTCTCTACTTGTCCGTGAAACTCAGTCATGGTGGGGGTCCGAGTAGTAAAACCAGTCTGGGTAAAAGCATTGATAACAGTAGTCATGGCATTACATGTGAATAAACCAGAGGGAGGAAAGAGAGAAAAAAATACCAAAAAACATTAAAATAAAAATAAAGAATAGAATACATCAGCAATTAGGAGCTCTCGGTTAGCCTTCAGTTAGTGCAGGTAAGGATTTGCCGCATGGAAGTCCAAGAGATCAGTCTCGGGTGTGCCCTTGTGGGCGGTAGTTGGCCTCCCCTCCCTGCCATCACGGCTAGCTTACCCCTGGGTTGGAGAGTCCTATTGAGGATCTTTCCTCTCTATTGATTGTGCGTCTCCGGCTAGCTTCTTTTTCCCTGTGGGGTTCGCGGTCGACTGGACTGCCACTGCTTGCCGTGTCGCTGGAGGTGGTGCCGGCAGATCAAGGCCTCTCAGGAACTCTGTGTGGTCCTCGGAGGCCGAAAGAACATGTACTGTGTCCCCATGTGGTACCACCAGTGTTCCCGAAAGTCCCCATCGGTATCTAATGCCTTTGTGGATCCGTCTGGTGGGTGCGAACCTACGCCGTTCAAGTAAGACTGCAAAAGGTAAGTCGTCGTATACTGTGATTTTCGTGTTGGCTATGAACAGACTTGGTCTTTGTCTGGACCGTGCCATTATAGAGGACTTCACGTTGGTGTCTCTGGTGGTGGCTATGATGTCCCGGGGTGCGTCCGCAGGTGCTGTGGGGGCCTTCCGGACCCTGAAGGCTGTCACTATTGGCGGTCACTCTGCGTCCGTCTGAACTCCGAGTTCTCTCAGGACCTCATGGGTAAAGCTGATCAGGGCTTCTTGGCCTATTGACTCTGGGGCCCCACGGATCCTGATGTTTTTTCATCGGTGCCGTGTCTCTAGGGAGGTTACTGTGCGGGAGAGGCGCTGTACTTGTTGGGTGAGTGTATTTAGGCGGGAGCTGGTATCGTCCAGCCTCTTTTCCCTCTCCACTTCCCTGCACTCCACTTCTCTCACACGGCGGTTCAGGCCTCTGACCTCCTCCTGTACTCCAGCGAGGTCGGCTTTCCATACCTCCCTCAGGTCCCGCAGGAGGTTTTTGATATCTCCCTTGGTGGAGGGGGATTTGTCTGAGTCTGATTCAGACCTCTGGTATATCCCGCTGCTGGAATTGGGTGCTTGGGATGTGTCTTCCTCCAGGGATCGCTCTGAGTCACTGGAGCTGCGTGTTTCCACGGGCGCCATGTTTAGTCGGGCCTGCGGCGGTGGTCTGGTGAAGGACAGTCGGATATCTGTGTGACTGTTGCTCTCAGCTTGGGCCAATCTTCGGTGTTTGCGCCCCATCTCTCTCTTGGGGGGGTCCCTCAGGTGTCGGCAATGTTAAAGTTTGCTCTCTTTTGTGGCAAAATAGGCAGTTTTGCACTTCTGGAGTGGGAGCTCAGTAAAACCTCGACTGCTCTGTAGCTCGGCTAGCCACGCCCCCCTAATGGAAGACATTTTAAGCACCCATGAGATTAAACAGTGTTTAACAAATATAAATGTAATAAACAATGTAATAATATGCACAAAAAAAACCAACTACACTGTATACCTACTTTTGGGCCATCCCGTGTATATATACCTATAGGGTGGCCCAAACGTATGTATACAGCATAAAACTATCATGATAGTTTTATATATACACCTACAGGGTGGCCCAAAAGTAGGTATACAGTATATAGATGGAATACTGTAGGTATACAGATGGATACTGTAAGTATACAATATATCTTCTTTCATATATATATATATGTGACAAGACCAATCTCGCCACTGTGCATTGGAGGAGCCTGGTTGCCTGCCTGCTGCCTTTTGACTATGGACCGGCATTTAAATACTTTATTCATGTATTTCTGCTCTGGCGTTCGGTAGATTCTCGGATTTACTGAACGAAATCATTTAACCCAGATTGCTATGCCATGGAGCCTATTCGTGTAATAAAAGACTTTGGCTCCATGGCAATTGAACTGTATGTGTGTGGTCTGAGAGCCAATCAGTAATAATGTGCGCTCAGACCTAAGCTATCTGGGGATATGTTGCATGTCTGTATTTTATGTAATAATGTAACCTTGTGTATTTTATTGTATTTTACTATCTTTTTACTGCCATGTGCTTAATGGAGTGTTGCCTCTGTCCTTGGAGATAATTAGATTACTTCCCAATTATCTCCAGGATAGAAGACTCTGTGGAACTGGTTTTGGGCAGAAAAGTTTTCAATCTATCTTTTGAACCAATGGACCAATGTGGATGATTTTGACATATGTTTGTATTTGGAGTATGCTGATTCTGAAAATGTAATTTATGTGAATGTGATGCATACTTTTAAAGTTATGTGTAATGTGGAAAAACTGTATTTCTCTGCCGGTGATAATTACATTACCCATTGTGTAAGGTAATTGTATCACAGGCAGAGGGGAGGATTTTGTGTGGGAGTGTCTGAGTGTATTGTATGTGTTTATTGGTTGGTTTCCAAAACCCTGTGGGTGGCACTAATGTGTATATAAGAAAAATAAACCCACAGCTCTGTCTGTTCCTGCTTGACCCTCAAAACGGAGCCTTGTCTCGTTCTTGGGGGCATTTATTGTATGCTGTTCCAGTTTGACTGCTAGGAGTGAAAACCTATTCGTATGGTTTTTCCTATTCGGCTGTTTACAGCATTCGTATGGTTCTGGTTCGGCTGTTTACGGCATTCAAATGCTTCTCCGGTTCAGTGGATTGATGTCTACAGTAGCTGCCTGTATATCTGGAAGGAGAGTATCCTCTAAACGGCGGTTTAACCCTTTTATGCCTGGGGGTGCCGTTACAATATATATATATATATATATATATATATTTATTTATTGACTCGTTAGTGTAGAGGTAATGAATGCCAGTGTCAGACAATCTCACCAGTTAGTGTCCTTGGGTAAGACACCTAACGATATATACCTGCCCACCTCAATAAAAAGATGAACTGCAAAGGGAATTACTGAGATAACAATAGATATAGGATGCAGAAAAGGAGGAGGTTCCATTACAACATAAATTACTCCATGGGGTGTACCAATGGCAAATAGTGAATGCTGCTTATATTACAAAATCCTACCAGTGTTTGGAAAATGCAGGATTGAAAGACAGCACTGAGACCCTAACCCTAGCAACACAGGAACAGGCACTCAGCACCACATCAATAGAAGTGGGAATCTACCATACCAGACAGGACCCAAGGTGTAGACTGTGCAAAAAAGGTGTCTGAGTCAATACTCTACATAGTAGCCTTGTGCAAAACGTTAGCAAAGGCAGAATGCATTAAGAGCCACAACCAACTTGCTGGGATTATGTACTGAACATGGGCTGGATATGCTGTACTGATGGGATATACTACAAAGGGTAGTTGAGAATAATAAGGCTAAGATCCTGTGGTACTTTCAGATCCAGACAGACAAGAGAGTAGTGGCCAACCAACTTGACATCGTGGTTGTAGACAAGGAACAGAAGACTACAGTGGTGGTGGATGTAACAATACCCACTTTCCGTAACATCAGGACTGAAAGAGGAGCTAGAAAGAATGTGGAAAGTGAAGAAAGTAGTAGTCCTAGTTGTGTCGCAGTTGAGACATCTGAGGTCCATGTCCATAAGAGTGCAGTTCTAGGAACTGTGCAGAACCCACAGACTCCAAGGCTTCTGGTTGAGCACCCGAGAATTAAAAAACACACAATAAATAAAGAAATAAACCACCAGAAGGGGTGTTAAAAATAAATAAAAATAATAATAAAAAAATAAAAATATATAAATAAAAAAATATATAATATTATTTATGTAAAAGATTATATAAGATATATACGATTCTGATTTCTTTATCACTCAGTATTAAGAAACGCACCAATTTATCTAATATTTCCTCAAATTACCCACATTTTTACATTGTAGCCATCATTACCCTTGATATAGACTCTCTGTTACATTCTGTTCTTTCTCCTCTCTCCCACTTCTCATGCAGTGCTGCCACGGTTTGAAGTGACCATTGATAGTCCAAATGCAATAGAGAGGTCGGAATCCTCATTCCAGCTGAAAGTCTGTGGCAGGTGATGCGTCACTTACGAGGAATGGCTTCCACTAAAATGTAGTTCAGAAATATTGGAGTGAAAGCTTCATCATTTACAATAAATATGTTTATATTTAAAAGCATAGCTAAACACCACATTCCATATACAACAGTTTTTTTCCGTTACAGCCCTTATTGCCGTTTAGTTTGGGTGCCACAGTATCTTCTATCAATATTCCATATTTTGGCAATATAACAGCAACCTTTCAAAGCTTATTACGCATGTGTGGATGTGATAATATATATTCTGCTCATTAACCCTCTTTTTAGAAAAGGATAGGAGGCTATGGGGTGACTGGGATAGTCTGCCCTGACAACATAGTATTTCGGATCATATCTCCACCAAAAACAAAAAATTTAGGGAAATTCAGTAGTAGGTATTTTTATGTATATATATATTTTTTTAAATAATGTAGATTTTAGTTAAAGTGAAATGGTCTTATGATTGTGGCACAGCTTAAACAAAGCTAGCAAAGAATTGTTCTATACTGTTCTTACGCTCAAAACTGATTATTTCAAGTAACTTTGGCTATCCTGGCATAACCAGAGCATAGAATGCAAATTAGAGCAATCCCCACAGTGCTGTATGCTTGCATGGCATTTCTTTGCAGAGGCCTGAGAGCAAATGTGCATGGCCAGAGCTTTGGAAATGCTGTGAAGGTAGGCAGTATTTTCTACATATTAATGCTGCTCTGCTCACTCCGGTGAGCACGTCAAGGGCATTTAACTGGAATTACATTTTTAGACTTGGTTCTCTAAAAGCTAGCAGACCATAAGGCAGCCAATGGGAAGATAAGGTTCTTGCCCATGCAAATTCTGATGTGGCTGGGGATGGGTGAGTCACAGCGGTTACAGTGGCTAGACTTCAAATCACCTTCTTCTGCAGTCATTGTATGTTTGAAATTTAGGGATTATTGGAGAGGAGTAAAAGGTGTCAGAATCACTACACACAGATGAGTCAGAGGGGGTGGAATCTCTATACAGGTGAGTGAGTAAAGGTGGGACAAGGAGACTTTAGAGAAGAAGGGGTAGAGGTGAGGAAGGGAGATCATGAATAACCTGTACTGGACTGTTATGGTGGTCTCAATTCACATTTAATTATAGACAATTTTTGGCCCTACATACAGTAGGGGCTCTAAAATCCATTTTTATAGTTGATAGAAAAATTGTAGTAGAAGTTGGAATTCTTTGGTTCTGTTTTAAGAGAGAATATTACTTTTATTACATTGTTTAAACCTTAGTTATCCTGTTTCTGGCTCTATATATGAGCTGTCAGTCATTAGAGCAGAACAAGTGACCAACGACACATATGGTAGGGTTACATAGTTTGCTTTCTCGGTCAGTCATTACTTGTCCTTTGTAGGGAGGAAGATGTCCTGTGGAAGAGACGACTTAATGTGTTATTTTTTTTCCCATGTGTTCAGATACACATATGGAAAAGGAGTCAATGGGTCTGCTGAAGTTCTTATCTGTTACTCCTCGTATAGTAAACAAGATGATGGTTGCTTCACAGAAACAGGCCAAGTAAGTATTTTATAGCCGTAGAACATCCCATGCAACTTAGTCTTACCCATCCACAGTTTTAGCAGCCAATCATTGCTGTCCAGAGTGCATAGAATAGTTATTGGGAATGCAGAAGTGGAAATTCCACATTACTGGGTGGGTCAGTCACAGTGGTTATGATGCTTCTGAAGTCAGTGCATTTTTTAAAATTTAGTGAATTCCTTTAATAATTCCATTATTTTGTTCAGTTGAAAGATTGTTTGAGTTTGTTCCAGGTTTATCCATTTTTTTTTTTTTTTTTTAAATTACCTTTAATGGTTGCCTAGAATTTGGCCACAATCACAACAGTCATAAAGAAGCCATTATATAAATTGGTTTATTCACTTATCCAACAGGCAACATTTAGGCAAAATGTCTGATATGGAGAGTTTCTCCAACTCAGCTTTATTCGCAGCTTGGTTATTCCAGCCTAAATTGTTCAATTCAGATATCAATTCACTAGACTCTAGACTTGTGCATTTGTATTCGGCCAATTGCAATTTGCCTAAATGTGGGCCTATCGACCGGTAGTACCATATCTATAACCCCAATAACTGAACCAATGACTCATGCAATGGATGAGCATGTTCATGTTCAAAGTTCAGTCCATGGCACAAAAAAGGGAGGTGATTGATTGTGGGAAAAAAAGATGGTTGATGGTTCGTGTACAGCCACTAAATGTTTTTTTTATTCAACGCTCAACAGAAAGAAAAAATCTGTAGATTAACTGCTCCTGCTGTTTTTCTGCTTATTAGTTACTTTTAGTCACTTGATATGTGATGAAATTGCAAGAAAATTAATGTATCAGTGTACTTCAGAATATATATATATATTTATATTTTGAGGGACACTGATTGGCCATTTTTCACATCCTTTTTGCTAGGACAATATTCAGAGAAACCACCACCAAGTGATTTAGCTAAACCAAATTTAACTGCTGCAGTCACCTAAATTCAGAGTTTAGTGAATAAACCCCAATATTGTGCTTTAGAGAATCAGAAAGCTATGATTCAAACCTTAAAGCTGGAATTGAAGGCTATTACATGCCCTTTCTTTTCTCTCTTTACCTGTCGGTCTTTTTCCTTTCAACAGACAGACCTCCAAGGATGCTTTTCCAAAAGTGTTCAAACACAATTCTATAATATTTCTATGTTTGGGTATTATTATGTCTACGCAATCAGAATATATGCAACTGTCGAAGAAGCTGGAACAGGTGAGTGTGAGCAGTCAGGTTATGACATGATGTCCATTTATCTTCCTCTCATTCTTAATAATTCTTTAGAGGTCCCTTGTCATTGATACTGTGACCATAAGGCCAGAGGTCACAATTAATAACTGGAATCTCCACTACTTAAAATCCTATATCCAGGTGTAGTTTGTCAGCCCTGTACCTCCTTCTAGTATCTAAATTGCTATGTACATGGCTCTAACACTGGCATAATAGCCTACTTTAGAGTTTATTAGACTATCAATTGTGATGAACTATCCATGAATTGAAAGTTTTATACAAAAATAGCCTTACTAGAAACATTTCTTAGTTGAAGAATTCTCAAATTTTGATATTTTGGCCTAGAATTTGCATTTAAGTTTATCCACAATTTATTTACGATTTAGTGAATAGAACCCTTGAATTTTAATGGACATAAATCAAACACTGTTTATTAGACTTGGAGATTTGTTTCAGACCAAACTGCAACTTGGGCGAATTTGGGCTTATCATGTGTTCTGCAGAATTCGCACATTTTGAGAAGGATTATACCAAAATTGCGGACTCATTGGCAGTGGTTGGAGGCATTTAATAATTATACGCCCTGGATGACATAGTCATCGACTGCTAGTGCTGCCTGAGGGTAAATAGTACTTCAAATTATCATTCACTTGCTGAAAGCAAGTGATCAATAATTAGCGAATGGGCATCCTACTGGATGCATTCGGTTATGAATTTTGATAAAAAATTGTAGAATACAATTCTTATAGAAGCTCTGCAAAACAGATATTGCTAAAGATTACAATATATGAATCTTGACAATTTTAATGTTAAACAAGTAATTACAGGGAATTTCAATAACATTTCAACAAGCGAGCCAGGGCAATCAGTGGTGCTCTGTTTTGCTACCTATGATAGGTTGGTTATCCTTGTAGACCTGGTTATCCAACTCTTTCTCTCAAATGAGTTGCCCTCTCTGTAAGGGAATATGGATAAAGCTTAAGATTATGATTATTTGAGAGCAACTCACTAGCACATTTAGAAGTCTTCTAGCTTCAAAGAATCAGACAAGTTTTTATCCAGGTGTATTGTATACAGGTGTCAAACATTGGACGTGTAACAGTTATTGTATAACTATAAGACCTTTCTGTTCCAGGTGTGAGGATGACATCTGATAAAAAAATTCCTTTGTCTTTCAATGCTGGAACAATAACATTTCAGGAAATGGATACATACTATAAAGTAGGGCACCCATATCGTATAAAGGTAAGAAAAGAGTTCCTGTGGCTTTTAATGTCTCTGGGATTGGGTAACTGAGGTATTCCTAATGGGGAAGACATTGATTGTGTCATGTTGGTGATAATCGGATATGATGATCAATGAGGCTACAAAATAAAGTGAAATTTAGTCTTGTCTAAGTTGAAGCATTGCCATGAGTGCACTACAACTGGGTGATATATAATAACATGTTAAATTATTTTACTGTGTGAAATGTGTTCTAATGTTACTATTAATGATTAATATTCTACAGTGTGAGACCAAGTCAGAATGCCAGTTGTTGTTAGTACAGATATAGGTGCAGTGTACAGTGGACATATAGCAATACAGGATCATGGTAGTGCCACATGTGCACAGATAGCAGTGCCAAGACACGGGAATACCACGTCTTCTGGAAAAATAATAGTGTGGGGTCAAGTTAAAGCAGCATGTTCTGGATAGATAATGATACAGGGTCAAGGATGAAGCTAAGTGTTCTAGAAAAATAACATTACAATTTCTGGATAATGTCTTTTGTTATTGACACATAACTTAAACATTTCTCAGAAATAGGATCTGTTCTGTAATGATAATGTTGCAGTTTCAAGATGATGCCACATGTTCTGTACATGTCACTGTATCAGGATGATACTGTGTCTCAGTTCCCCAGTCCCCCATGTGTCTCAATCCCCCAGTGTCCCCCATGTGTCTCATTCCCCAAGCCCCTCATGATTTTTTATTCCCCCATGTTTTTCATTCCCCCCAGGCCTCCCAAATGTCTTATTTCACCCAGTCACAATGTGTCTCATTTCCTCTCCTCCCTCCCCTATGTGTTTCATTCCCTGCCACCCCATGTGTCTCATTTCCCCCAGCCCTCCCCATGTGTCTCACTTCCTCTCCTCCCTCCCCCCTTGTGTCTCATTCTCCACAGCCCCTTATGTGTCTTAATCCCACAGTCCTGCTCTCCCTCTTCCCTCCACCATGTGCCAGCTCACCTCCCTCCTCCTGTGTAGCATGGCCGAGCCGCAGACTGCAGGAGTGGAGCTTGTTTCCTTCTCCCAGGTCTTACATGAAACAGTTCTTCACTCTCAGTGAGTGCTTCCTATCATTTTGGTTAAAGGGAAATAAGCTCCTCTCCTGTGGTGTGTGGCTTGACCACGCTACATACAGAGACCAGCAGGAGGGGAGCACTGTGCAGTTTACTCCCCTCCTGCCGGTTACCCGAATCCTGTTCCACCAGGGCCATTGTGCCCTAAGGCAGCCACCTGTGCTGCCTTATGGTAGCGCCGGCCCTGAGTGGTACAGCATTTTCTGAAGCAGTTAGGTGGAAGTTGTGTGTTGTATTGGTTTTGTGCATATATTTGTTCTGAGTGATAACTGTTTGATACAAATCTCAGATTAGGGTCAGAGGAGGTTGTTGATTTTTATTGATTTTGGTCTTGATAAAAATTCAGAATACTCTAAATAAACCTCATCAATAAAGCTCTCTCAATTACAAAGTCATTCAGCAAAAAGGACAGGATATGGGGACTGTGAAAGATTGACCCGGTCACTTTAACAACTGGTACTGGACTCTGGGTCAACTCTCCCACAAGACAGCTTTTATCACCATGCTTGCCCCTACAAACTTCCAGGGAACTCCTTGGGGCTAACTGGAGCACAGAGTACTTGACCGTGAGGAACCCATACATTTAATGGAAGTGTACACCGGATCGGAAACTGCCAAACCACTTCATCAAATACTTAGTAATATGGAAATATTTTTGGACATCTCTCGTTTATTTTTTTAATCCTGAGAATGTTCTTCTACTTTGTGATTGTTGTAAAATTACTTTTAAATTATAACAAATAAAAATTGTATTTTCCCCCCCATTGTTTACATAGTGGTGTATTTTTGTATCAGGTGATTCTGGTGTTTAGCAAACATAATTTCTTTGAGTTTAGCACAGATTGTGTTGAAGAGTAAGGTGCAATTTTCTCTACACTTGGTACACATGTTGACAAATGATCACTGCTATAGCTATTTGGTACACGTTTTCGTAATGTGCCAGGATTATGTTATGCTTATTCTGTTAGTTAAAATGTTGCTGAAAAGGTTATGGAATTTTAGTTAATGATGGAAGAAGATGGGTCACGACCATGTTATGTGTTTTTGCTACAGTTGATGATGCAGAAGAACGACGGAAGTCCACTCAAGTTTTTTAACGCCGCTCTCCAAATCAGCTTTGGAAATGAGACAATTACTATGGAAAGTCTGGCTAATAATATGGGATACCATGTTTTCACCTTGGACACCTCCAAGTGGACTGGATCTGTCTATCTGACCGTGAGATCTTTTTAGTATTTTTAGTCTTTCACCCATATTATCTTTAAATCCACTGAAACAAAATCATACAATTAACCCCATTCCTAGCTATTGTATCTATTACATTTTAACATTTAACTTACTCTAGCTACACTTCTTTATATGTTTTCTTTAACTGGAAAATTGTCCAAAAAATATCCACCACTAATGAAGATGGCGTACTTCATTTTGCTATTAAACATTCCAATGTGTTTGTTTGCAGGTTAAACAAGAGTGATTGTTCACATGTAAGCTTTTGTAAAACAAGTCTAACAATTAAATTAAGGGTAATGGAGTATATTATATTTCTTTCTGTATGTTCTCTTACAAATTGCCTATTCAGACTCCGTTCATGGTCTTCTTGTTTTCCTAGGGCTATTATGACTCATTATATGTTTCATACGGATTCTCCGAGAAGGCTTATTATAACCCAGTCTATTTTACAGTAAATCCATATTACAGTGAGGCACAGAGTTTCCTGAGAATTGAACCCATACTTGATGTTATTCCATGTGGAAAAGTAGTAAATATCAAAGTAACATATGCACTCAGCTCAAAGGAACTCTGGCAAAAATCCAAAAGTGTTCAATTCGCCTATATTGTAAGTGTGAGCATAACCCATTGTAAAATTATTTGTAATGTTCTTTTTATATAAGGTAGAGATGGTTTGGTTAAAGGTAACAGATTAATTAGGTAAGAGTTAATAATGAATTCTAGGCGCTCAGTGATAAAGGTGCAGTATTGAATCTTAACATGTCAAACACATTGACACTGCTGTAATCACCCAATATATGGAATGCAACCTGTGGAGTTATATCATTGGCAGTCAGTATATAGAATGCAGTATGCGGGATTATATCATGGGCAGTCAGTATATAGAATGCAGTATGTGGGATTATATCATGAGCAGTCAGTATATAGAATGCAGTGTGCGGGATTATATCATGAGCAGTCAGTATATAGAATGCAGTGTGCGGGATTATATCATGGGCAGTCAGTATATAGAAAGCAGTATGTGGGATGATATCATGGTCAGTCAGTATATAGAATGCAGTATGTGGGATTATATCATGGTCAGTCAGTATATAGAATGCAGTATGCGGGATTATATCATGGGCAGTCAGTATATAGAATGCAGTGTGCGGGATTATATCATGGGCAGTCAGTATATAGAATGCAGTATGTGGGATTATATCATGAGCAGTCAGTATATAGAATGCAGTGTGCAGGATTATATCATGGGCAGTCAGTATATAGAATGCAGTGTGCGGGATTATATCATGGGCAGTCAGTATATAGAATGCAGTATGTGGGATGATATCATGGTCAGTCAGTATATAGAATGCAGTATGTGGGATTATATCATGGGTAGTGATTATATAGAATGCAGTATGTGGCATTAGAAGTGAGGGAAAAAAGTATTTGACCCCCTGCTGATTTTGAACGTTTGCCCACTGATAAAGTGGTTATATCCTGGGGTTATTTCAGGATCAGTCAGTATATAGGATGCAATTTGAGATTACATATTTAAAATGCTTTGTTTTCTTGCAGATTATTGGAAGAACTGGGATTTTGAGATTTGATCAAAGATCAATTACTCTTACTAAGGCAAACCGTGAGTGAATTCCCATTAACTATGAAGATGTACCGTTCTTGTAACACATATACATATCGAGATTTGTTGTTGATTGGTGATGGTTCCACTGTAACGTGAAGTTGTGTTTCCATCAGATTGTGCATGATACATCCAGTGCTTATCTCTTTTCTTCATCTAGCTGTGAAAGGCACCTTCTATCTACCTATTGTCTTCACATCTTATTTTGGTCCAGCACCAAAGATGATTGGTTATATTCTTCTGAATAATGGTGCAATGGCTGCAGACAGACTGCGCTTCACAGTAGAGAGATGTTTTCCGAACAGGGTGAGTGAGAGACGCAGAGACAAACAGACACACAGCCCGGGGTAAACTGATAGTTCTTAACAGGGAGAAAGGCCTATCTATAGGCAACTGCAAACATTTATGATGGAAGACATTCAATCAGCAGAGATTAGTATAACAGAAGAAAATTGAAATGGGAGGAACACTTTTTCAACCAAGAAGCTACCGTGAAGGCCAAAATATATACAAAATACAGATTGAGGAACAGCGCGCACACACAAATAAAATACTGTTTTAAATTTGACAAAGCTAGTTAAAATCACCTGGTGACTGGCATAGAAGTGGGAGACTACGCATATTTAATCTATTACTTATTATTTCTGCAGACGATTGAAGGATTATTCCAAGCGATTTTAGTGGTCATGGTGGCTGGAGTCTGAAACACTGCACTCGTGGAATTTAGCCCTTCTGCTGCCGCAGGTGTAAATCCACCTATGGCAGAATCATTGGGGTTTCATCAGCCAGCCCGCAACAAGAGTTCCAGGCTCACTAATGTTAATTTTATTTAACTTTTATTGCACAGAATGTCATTCATTGGATGAAAGCAACCAGCTGATGAATGGCAACAGCCACGACTTCTGCTACTCTGAAGAACCCGGAAACGTACCACCAGGGTGTCTTAAAGCCCAGCGGTCAACCTTTGCATTATTACTACCTCAGTAGACTGTAGTAGTTATGATGCTTAGAGTAAGCCTTTACAGATTCAGGAACTACATTCACATAAAAAAGCTCCCCCTACTACATCACAGTACCCAATATAGGTATTACACTAGTTTTAACATAGTAGAAGAACATGTTCACTGCGATACTTACTGCTTAAACTGCTTCTAGGTGCCCCTATGGAAAGCATACATTTGAGGATAGTCTTTAGAAGAAGTTTAACCCCTTAATGATGAAGCCAATTGTACAAATTCTAATCAAAACAACAACTGGAATTTGAGCTATATGTCTGCTCAACCATAATTCACCTATTTTATATTAAGAAAACCCACACTTATGTATCATTTTTTTTCAGGAGAAACAGGGCTTTCATTTCACATCAAATATTTAGATATGAAACATAATTATGTAGGAATAAAAACTACAGAGTGTGAGAAATTAAGAAATATTGTTATTTTCTTAGCTCTGTGTGGCATTTTTGTGTTCAGCGATGTCTCACGAGTACAGCAGTACTTCCCATGTGCAGGTTTTATGGGGTTTTGGAAACTTAAAGGGTCAAATATAGATCTTTTGCCTTTTTCAGTTTTTACACATTGAAATTTGCCAGGTTTGTTTGATAGGCTTATGTTGTTTTTGAGACCATATAGCAGCCCAGGAATTAAAATTACCCCGTCATGGTATACCATTTGCAAAAGTAGACAACCCAGAGTAGTTAAAATGAAGTATGTCCTTTTTATTTTAGTAACCACTTAGTCACAAACCCTGACCAAAGTTTATGCATTTTTCACAAATAAACTGCCCTTTCACCGATGATATAATCAGCATTATACATTTCACTGCTCTAAAACACTCATATTTGTGTTTAGCAATGTCTCACGAGTACAACGTAGCCCCATGTCCAGGTTCCATGGTGTTTTGGGAAGTTACAGGGTCATATTGTAACATATTCATGCTCACCTTGCGGTATCTGTGCTCAGCGGCCATGCATCAGTGTACCTGACTCCTGCAACATTTTGGTGAACACCGGCCGCTGCGGATCCACGCCAAAGTATAGCCCCACGTCCGCCCACGGTGATGACGATGTCGGCGTGCGTGTGATGTCACATGGGAGACCCATGCTCACTTTCTGGGGTCAAAGGCCAATTTTGCCCAATAAGATTTGTAAAAGGCTTATTTAAACACATTTTTACTTATCCTCATTGCCCTGTTGTGGTTTCCATTAGTGGTTGTCCGAGAGTGTGTTAGTAAGCGTTTATTTCTGGTTATTGACTTTGGCTTCGTTGTGACTTCCCTGTATCCCTGACTTCTGGCTTTCCCTTATCGTTGTGTCCCAGTCTGTGTCCCCGACCTCGGCAAGTATTCTGACTATTCTTAGGTATGTTAAGTCCGGCCATTCTAAGGGCCAGTAAGACGTTACCTTTTAGTCCTAGGTGTGATACAGTTCTACGTGCTGGATCAACTAGTAATCCTGACTCATATTTAAGACTTGCCCATTCCCAATTTTGCACTTTGAAATTTGCCAGATTGGTTATGTTGCCTTTGAGACCGTATAGCAACCCAGGAATAATACTTATGGCATATCATTTAAAAAGGTAGACAACCCAGGGTATTTAATATGTTGTATGTCTAGTCTTTTTTAGTAGCCACTTAGTTACAAATGCTGGCCAAAGTTAGCATTCACATTAGTTTTTTTGCTTTTTTCACACAAAAACTGCACTTTCACTGATGGTGTGTTCAGTGAAGCCTCCTGCGTACCCCACATGTACAGGTTTTATTGGGTTTTGAAAAGGTTACAGGGTAAATATAGGACTTAAAGAAAAGCTGAAGCCTTAGGGGTCAAGCAAAGCTTGATCCCGAAGTCAACATATAAATGGACTATGTGGGTATAAAGGGTCCTAAACCCTAAATAGTACAAACACAAGAAAGGTTGCCTAAGAGGGTGAAAGAGTGAAGGGCGACCTGCCTTTCCTCTAACACTCCCCCTAGGTATACCCACAGTAGTGAAAATAATTCATAGGGTATGAGTAGAGTAAAAATTAAAAACTTATGTTTATTAAATTCTATTTAAAATCTCTTTAACCCCTTAAGGACACATAACATGTGTGACATGTCATGATTCCCTTTTATTCCAGAAGTTTGGTCCTTAAGGGGTTAAGGACAAAAAAATTTAAATTTGAATTTAATAAACAAAAGTTTTTAATTTTTACTCTACTCATACCCTATGAGTTATTTTCACTACTGTGGGTATACCTAGGGGGAGTGTTAGAGGAAAGGCAGGTTGCCCTTCACTCTTTCACCCTCTTAGGCAACCTTTCTTATGTAAATATAGGACTTGCAAATTAAATTCTCCGGGCTTTCTGCCTGGGTTGTTAGGGAGATCAGTCAAATTATAATTGAT